GTAATAAATGTACGCTGACCTCCTGAAAGTTATTTTTACATTTTCCCTACGACTGGGCTTCTTTTTTTTTATTCATTTTAAAAACGACTCGGAGCAACGCGTGATTATCGTCAGTTTGAAAAAAAAAATCGATTAATTCAGGCGCTCTCGTCGGACTGTGGCACTTAAATCGTAAATCGCGTTCACTTGCGCTAATAAATTTAACAAGTGCACCGTGCTACAAGTATCTATATCCCAGATACTAATAACAGAATGATAAAATAATAAGTATAAACGCATGTAAATGAGTGGCAATTAATTGAATTATATATAAATCGCCTTGTCGTTATTATATATAAATCGCCTTGTCGAATTATATATAAATCGTATTTGTCGCCCTCGTTACTCGAAATTCTCAGAAAAAAAATGGCCATAATCTGCAAACTGAGCAAACAACGTTTCGCTTTGCAACGAGTAACTGTGTGTGTATATTCTCCGAATTCCGCGATACTCATACAATCGATCGAATCGATAAAACGCATGGGGGTACGCAATTTGTACGATCAACAGGATAAACATAGAATACCGCTAATCACAATTAAACTCTGAACATATAAATATCACAGCCAGTTAAACAGCGTAAAATATACAGCACTGACAACGCTATTTACAGATAATCATTAACGTTAAGTCGATTGGATTTCCATTGTGGACAAGAGGATCCTGAAGCTCCGAAACGCAAGATACTTTTCCGGGTGCCGGGAAACGCGGCAAATGATAATTGCTTATGTACAACACGCACGCACCGTGCGTCTACGATCACACGTTGCTCGTAACGATTATCGTTGTCCACAGCACATGTACCGCCAAGGATGCAATTTGTAATTAAGGTACGCCGATGTACACGCACGTACGCAGCAGATCGCCCACGTTACACGCATATAAATTTAGTATAATAATGTAGATAATAATTGTCTAAGTAAGGCTGATTAAACGCATTCTCATCCCTTCGTAACGAGCCTCCCTCTGTCTCTCCCTATATTGCCGATTCATTGACCGATCCTCCGTTGTTCGCGGATCCGCAAATCCGCAATTCCAGACAATGACGCGCGGTGTCGAGAGACGGCGTGTGCGCAATATCGGAACTATATCTTGTCTTTCTTTTTAAATATTATAATTATATATTATAATTTAACTGAATTTTTGGAATCTTTATAAGATCCTTCAAGCAATCAAAACTCTTTGATTCGTATTAGACCAGCCGATCGGACGATCAAATACTTGAGGACGAAATGCAACTTGATCTTCTTCGATTATTTGCGAGAAACGGTTCGGACCGCTCATCTCCGATGCACTTCCGGCCGTCGAATGCGCTTTATCTCGACACCGAGCGAGTCTTGCATAAATCATTCGTCTCCGGACCTTTTCCATAGGTCCTCCGATCGTCCTCAGAGACGGAGACTCGAGTATCTCGTCTACCTCGGGATCGCGCGTAAACGGGAGTAAATGTAATCTCAACGGTTTATCGTAGTGTCGCCCCTAACGTGTTACAAATTCCCCTAACAAATTTACAGAGGTGTTCTAAATCAACGTGGCAGTAGAGTGATGTTTCCTTCCCCCCCTCCCCCCTCTCTCCCTCGGCCGCGGAAAGCGCCGTAACTCGAGATCGGCGCGGGACGCACGCCCGTAATCCTCGCGAAGCATTCGTATTTGTATGTTTTTTTTTTTTTTCGTAGTAAGAGCACTTAATCGCTACGTGTTTTCCAAACTGAACAGCCGGTCGCGGTGTTCCCTCTCTGTCTAGCCCTCCCCTCATCCCACCCCCTTTTGTTTTTCTTGTTACACTTGTTCCTTTCGGGTTACCGCGACTTCGCAGCACGGGATCGGCTTACCGGATTATTGATACTTCCTAAGGATAATGCCTTACGTGGTAATCATTATTCGGTGAATATATCATACAGATGACATGGGCCCAGTCCCGCGAGATTTATATATGTTGCTCTTCCACCTCCTCGCGGTTGATCGCTCGAGTTCAGGGATTGACACTGGTATAATTTCGACGCAATTTAATTGGCGAGTCACCGTACTTGGCATATAAAGTGCTGGAATTTTACTGAATTTCGCATTTCTGGTCATCTTTCTCACGTAAGATTTTGAATCTTCTTCGCCACTATTTCGGCGAGTTACGATAAAAATTCCGACACTAAAGAACAATCTGCTTATAATCTCGCGAAATCAGCAATAGATACGCTTCTTCTCGAAATCATACCGGTCTCAATCGGTCGTTTTTCGATAATCGCATCGATTCACTGTAACTTGACCTAGCACTCGCTCGGATTACCTTCTTCATCTTCTGCGAAATGACGAAAAAGAAAAAGAAAGGAGGAGAGAATCGCTTCTCCCTCCTCTTTCTCGTCACCTTTTTCGTTTTTCATCTACACGGCTCTGGCAAATTTGATCAGTTTTTTTTCGACACGCCGGAAATTTCAGATACAACGGGATACTCACGAGGAATCGGAAGATGAACGTTATTAAAAAAAAAAAAAACGTACACGTCTAGTAAGGATCCTACTCCATAATTTATAAACGTTAAAAAAAAATCGCTGCCGCGTGTTACAAACGTGGGAGGAGAACGAAATCGTCTCTTATCTTCCACACTCGTCACGAGATTCGGTGGATTTCGCGCGCTCGTGTGTCGCCTCTGAATCGCATCCCTCTGGCCTCTGCCTTCTTCGCTGTGGGAGAACGAAGTGTTCGGTATTCGACTGTGTGTGTCTCTCGAAGATGACCGATGATGTTTCGCCGATATTTTCGTCGGGAACGGAAGATTACCCGGAGTTCTTTTCAACTTCTTTTCTCTCTTTTTTTTTTGTCTTCGACCGAACGAACAAACGATGATCACGGGTGGAAGCGGAAGTCGGAAGCAGTGATGTAGGTGATGGCTTTAAGTTGGTCCCGAACATGAGTTAGTAGAGAGTTGTGCAAGAATCATAATTACTTGTGATCAATATCGCCTGTCCACGCCCATTTAAGTTATTGCTAAATAATAGTAACGATTTTTCTGGAAAATTCATCGAGCCTCGACGAATCGGGGAAAAAAAATATGAAGCTCGTTGACGAAAAAAAAAAGAGCACTGTCGACGTTACTCACAACCGATTATTGTAATAATTAACAAGCTACGTCCTAATCTGTTTTTGCGCCATTTGTGTCTACATGTAAAGGCTGCTTAGGGATCGACATTGTAATTTACCGTAAGGCGTATAAATTTTAATTGAATCCAAATTATTGACGTATCGCCGGCAACGGCGACGAGATAAGCCCTAATCTGCAACTGAGTAATTATAATCTTTGCACATACCCGCTCCAAGAGTCGCGCGTCGAAACGTGTCGACCGTTGCGTCACGGATCTCAGCTCACGGCAAATACTGCGCGCGTCGAACGTGATACACACATACACGCACACACTCTCTCTCTATCTCCCTTCCCTCCCTTCCCTTTCCGCCTCGCTTGATCTGCATCTTAAATACTATTACGAGCTATCTATTAATTAATCTATACGGTCCTATATTGTACGGATCAATTATATCCAGTGGCAGTTTATTTACAGTGCGGCTCGAGCCGCGGCCCCCTGATATTAGCGTCATCGGTTCGTAAATGATTCGGCGTTCGCCGTCGCGCCGGCCGCCGTCCAGTTTTGCGGATCGATCGCGGCATATGTTTGCGTACGTAACGTACGCTGGTCTCTCGAGAGTCTCAAAGTGAAGTCATAAAATTCAGCGGGAGGCGACGCTCCGGAACTTTCTTCGGGTAAAATTCTTTTTTTTTTTTGACTCGCAGGTTAATAGTGTTACGATTGAAATGGTAAGTTCTAAGAGATTACGGTGATAGCAGTTAATTGAGAAAATTGCCGCATTCAAACGATCCAACAATTTACGACTCCCCGCGTATGATTGCCGCGGGCCGCGGGTCCGGCCGCATCTACTTCAACGTCGTCTTTTATTTACAGGAACAGCACGATCATGTAATTGAGATATCTCGCGCTAGTGGTACCGTTGAGCTTCGTGCCGCCACCGCCGCCGCCGTTTTCCTCGTCGTTCTCGCTGGCAGTGTCGCCCTTCGTCTCGACGATGGTGTCGAGCCGCTCCATCGCGCCCCTCGAAGGATGATAATTGCCCGAGCTCTCGCTCTCGGGGGTCTCGTCGGAGTCGACGTCGATCGTCCGATCGTTCACCTGGATCTTCACCACGGCGTCCACCGGGTACTTCCCTCCGTTGCCCTCGTCGCTGGAGCCGGATCTGCCGGTGCTCGACGTGACCCCGGCCTCCCGCTCGCAGCGCGGGCACACCTGACCGTTGGACGAGCCCTCGTCGCTCTGGCAACGGAAGCAGATCAGGTCGCCCTCGCTGGAGAAGTCGCAGTGCTCGCAGTGCACGACGTAGCCGTTACCTCGGCAGAGCTCGCAGATCGGGCTCTCGCGGTCTGTGAGCAGATCGACGGGTTAGCTCGACGGGTTTGCCACGCGCGATCTAGGATCGTCGTCCTGATCCGTTTCTGAGAAGGCAATCTCCGAGCAGCGGCAGTCGCCACGGAGATCGCGCGAAGCGTCAGCGAGAAATGCGGAAATGCAAGCAGCGGCGAAAGCATCGGGGAGAATATGGCGGTGTGCGTGCGAAAGAAACGAAATTGAAAGACGCTACGTGGGTTTTTTTTTTGAGGTATAGATACGAGAGGAGAGAGAGCAGCGATACTTCCTAATCCGCTAAAGTTGTTTTGCGAGCATTCACTAGCTACGTTAAGTAATAACGTCTATTCTCGTAACAGGATTAAAACTCAAGGGCTTCAAAAGGATTTGCGAATCTAATAACAAAAAAGGATTAAATTAAAGGGAATTTTTTTTCCGCCAGGAAGGAATAAGGGGTGCCAGATTAGAATGCAACCGGACGGTGGGAAGACGTCGGATCATCGGAGAAAACACCGAGGCCATTCAAATTAATTAAGCAAAGCGAAACGAACTTTTGTTTCAATCCTCGGACCAGAACTGGTCGAGGTACTCGCCTCTGTCGACGTCACCTCGATCGTCCGTGTCCCTGGCGGTCCATCCGCGTCGCTGCTGCTCCTGCGCCCGGTAGGATCGAGGTGACGTTATCGGCACCGCCTGCTCCAGATCGTGGTACGATCGCGGCGACGACGTCTGCACGACGCGATCCTGTTCCGCGTGGTACGAGCGCGGGGAGGACAGCTTCACCGGGCTTCGGTAGGCACGTGAGGTACCCGGCTCCTGGTGCCGCTCGTCCATACGCTCCTCCACGTATCTGACGGCGTGCGAGTCGGGTGTTTGCGGTCGGTAGGTGCAGGTGTGCGTCTTCTGATCGCACTCGCTGCACAGCAGCAGATTCGACTTGCTGCCGGGCTGCGAGACGTAGCCGTTGCAGGTACCGTAGTAACGCTCGTCCTCGTCGCTCTCGAACAGGTGCTGGCTTAAGCTACCGATCGACTTTGTGTCGCTGAAAATCCTCGCGTAGTCCGGCTCCTCCTTATCGCCGTACCTGCCGCACAAAAGATTGATTAATAACGCAACTATATCGTAAACTTCGATTTTACAAGACTGAATATGTATCACGGAAAGAAGGAAATATGTACAAACGACGAGGCGTCAGCAATATCGCTGCCGTAATAATTGACTGTGGTGTAATTGATAATGCAATATATAAAGGAAATAAAAAGTACAATGAGATAGGTACCTAGTATCAACGGCTCCGACAAGGTAGTGGCGTATCCGCTCGATTTTGGTCTTGCCGCGCTCTCGCGGCATTGTTTCTCGTTAAATGATGCTCTCCCGATTTCTCTCATTGTTGTCCTCGACGCTCGAGGTCGAGCTCGCCCCGCAGATCTGCATCTCGATTTCGGCCAGCCGGTGCTCGACCTCCCACTGCTGTTGGTTCAGCTTGATGCTCATCGTCGCGTTCTCGGTCTCCAGGCATTTCAGGCGCTCGCGGAGACGCTGAATCTCCGCCAGCAGGGCCTCGTGGGTGCCGAACAGAGGTGTCGTACCCTCGCTCACCAGCTGCGTCATGCTGTTGCAAGTCATGCCTGTAACAGGCAACGAGTGTCGGTGTTAGAGATTGTTCGCGTCTTTCGCAAAAATTACATTAGACTGCGCGATGTTGCGCGAAGAAATAAGAGTAATGCGCTTATGGAAACTTAATAATTAAATGAATAATAAACGGGAGCGAATGAGCGAGCGCCCAATACAAATTCGTGAAATTGTTATACAATAATTGGTGGTTGATTTATACCCTTCAGCAATAATGCGGAGATCGCGTTTCAGTGAAAGACATTTAACGTTGTATACTGCAGCTGTACAACAAGTATACTCTAAGTATATATATATATATATATATATATCTATATATATATAACGCGCGTATGCAAAGTTTTGTCTTTCAGTCCGCCGCTTCAGTACAAGCGCGCGCGCAATTATCAATCGTTGAAAGTTAGATGAGGAGCGCGGAAAGAGAGCAACAAACGAGTTCCGCACTTAACAGTACCGGGCGTGTACGAATACGAAATGAATTCCTCGAGCGCATCCGCGTGCACGCGCGCGCGGGGGTCTTTGTGATTCACTGATGTTGATTAATGCGCGCGATTAGTATTTCTCTCTCGGTTGCGACGGTTGCACTAGCGCGATAATAGAATTCGCATACAAGATGAACCCGTCTCTCTGCCGGTCGCATCGAGAGCTGATACAACGTACGAGAATTAGCATTAGCAAACTGCTAACTAATTCACGAATTACCGGGGCCGCTATTCGTCACGACCATTCCAGGAAACGACCCGGGGAGTGTATTGTCGAGAGACTCGTCTTGATCGCTTGTCACTCCTCGCGTCAACATTCGAGTACACGGCGAAATTGCGGGGGCTCTCTATTTCGGGAGAGATCGCTTTTCCATTTTATACCGTTATACCGTTACAGCGGATTGGCGATTACCGCGAGTTTGGTGATACATTTTCGTCCCGGTTATAATCACTATCAGACCCCGCGGTATCCGATTTTGTTACCGCCCACCAGCGAAATCTGTCGTTTTAATTGCGGGGGAGGGTATTAGCGTCATACCGTGTTTTGTTTCGTATATACATACTCGCAACTAAACGGAAACGCTCGATTACCAGTGGAATTTCCAGTGCGCGAAGGGATATGGGCGGGGGAGGGGGCGGGGGGGGTGGAGGGGGAATGGGGATTTTATTCCCCAAACGACATATAAACGTCGGCAGAAACACGTTAAAATCGTTACTACCTATCGTATCTATCGGGGTTAATGGTCGGGCGCTATTTTACGAGTGGCGCCGAGCGTCGCTCTCGTCATTCATTATCCGCGCGATATTTCTGAATTTACCTTTTTGCCGTTTTACGGCCGCCGATAAACGGCGACCGTTTCGCCGCGACACGACACGACACGCTGCATCGCACCGCGCCGCACCGCGCTGCACCGCGCTGCGCGGGTGTTATTCACGTCCGAGTAGATTTGATTTGCAATGAGATCGCATTCCCACGGAATTCTAATCCGATCGCGCGCCGGGGGGGGGGTGGAGGGAAGGGGACGCGCGGAGGAGAGATTGCGCGAGACTGAATCGCCCGTTTCGCTTATGACGGCGCGATAAAGTCTCTTCCGGGGACGCGCACAATACCGCACGGTTCATTCATCAATCTTCCTCTTCATAAGCAATGATAAACAATTAAAGCCTTATTCAAACATGACGATTAAATTTGCCGAGGTAAATGAATTCGTAACGATATATAAACAATAAAATTGCATTTCTAGGAATATCATGAATGATGACAATGTTCCATGATGTTGCGGAGAATCTGAAACTCCGTCGGTGGTGTGTGTGCAAACGTGCACGGTGTGTGTGTGTGTGTGTGTGTTCGTGCGTGCGTGTGTGTGTGTGTGTGTGTGTGTGTGTGTGTGTGTGGTTTCAGAGTCTTTTGTTCTGAAAATATCTCCGGGATGGAACTTATTACAAAACGTTCAATCGAACGTAACGACATCGATGGTTTATGGTACAAACATTACACGGCCTTTCTAAAAAAGCTTTTATGGAACGTGAAATTATTGATGACTAGAAAGTGAGAGGCTATGAAGGTCTTCCTATTCTCCCCGTGTTCGCGCTTCACTTAATCGCGAAGTCTTATAGTCTATAAGAAACTACGGTTTTGCGTCAGCAGTTTGCGCGAACACACTGCCGGCGCCGTTATCAGCAATGATTTATATACCCCCGGTATAATATCGCAAAAGAATCGCCAGGGGTAAGCGCGATCGATGATATTTTTAAAATAAATCCGATATGAAAGTTTGTCCTTTTACACAGGTAAAACGAATTTACGGGGTATCAAGCGTAATTGGGATAGGATAAAATTTTCATTGCGTTTGCAGCATTTTATCGATGATCGGAAAATACAATTTACGTGATTGCTCGGAGTTGCGAGTGCTTACAAAAATATCTGCTACTTTTCATAAATCATTAACGTCGAATCCACTCCAATTCAAAGGATAAACTCACTTAGTTTATCCCTCTATATCTCTGCAATATTTCTATTTATTTTGTATAAAAAAAAAGATTTATTTTCCAGATGCATTCATCGTTCGGTCTAATAATTATATAAATTAATAATTATTTTTCACTTGCTATAATTTCAAATTGATCCGCTTTGAGCTATTGATTTTTTGAGAGGCATCGCAGCCAATTAAATTGAATTGCGGCCAGTATAGTTACAGCCGCCACTGACGAGACCAGTAAGAGGATTACGAGAGAGTTGCGATTTGTGATATAAATAGACTAGATATATGTGGAGTGTTGTAATACATAATAATAAAACGAATAAGGATCCATATCTACCCTATTGTCCTTTCTCAAACGTGTTTGGAATTTTACAATTTTTTGAAGAGAAACAGCAGAACTCTATTAACTTTGACGAAATACCAAGAAAAGACGCAGTCGCGTCTTTTCCTCCTAACGTCGCGTCGAGGGTGAAAGACGGGGCGGGGGGCGGGGCGGGGGGCAAGAAAGCTTACCGGAATGGGTGGACTGCCTGCCGGTGGAGGCTTGGGTCGCGGCTGACGGCAGCGCCCTGGCCGTCTGGTCCTCGCTGCTGGGGCCGCTGCTGGCCCCGCTCATCGGGCTCTCCGTGCCCCTGATGGGCACGTTGTTCGTGTCGGCCGGCGCCCCCGCGACCGGCATCGCGCGGGCCGTCACCGGGCTCGGGCTCGGCGTGAACAGCGAGGCGGCGGTCGAGTACGCGTGGGTGGACTTGAGGTCGACCGGCGATATCCACATGTCCTCCAGCGACACGCGGCCCCGCGACTCCACCAGGCCGGGCGTGCTCTGGCACCTGCCCATGGCGACTGGAAAATTCACACATGTCGCTTCAGCAACAGCGATATACGATTCCATATTTGTGCGGGACATTGGCTTTCTCGGTGCAACAATATTAAATTATTTATCTGCATTGAAACAATTTATATCATTCGCTACCTTTTGATATTTAATTCTGTACGCTTTGTACTACTGCAGGCTCAAATTTATTAATTAATAATTTAATATCTCTACGTAACATTCCTGTTAAATACGGATCTCTGTAGGTATAAAAACAGATTTAAATTAATCGCGAAGGATTGTACGATCCTCTCTATTTGTTACAAAAATGATGATAAAACTGAATGACTGTGTGTTATTAAAAGAATCGTGTCAGCATATATGTATAATGAATAATTTCGCAAATATTCGCATTAAATTAATTAACGTAAAATAGTATTTATGTTTCTGCGTATCGCGTTCACAGAGCCCCGGGTTTCATCTTCAGTAAAAATCTGTTCTCGCGCAGGGCTTTATTTTAAAAACCGCGCGACGATCCGATGGTTCGCGGTAAAAAAAGAGAATCACGGTATTACCGTCGCTTTTTCCATCTTCCATCCTCCGGGAAGCGAAACCGCCGTCGCGCAGGAAAAGCTCAACCGTAATCGTCAGAATTTACGGGGAAATATACGGGGAAATAACGAGAGAGAAAGAGAGAGAGAGAGAGAGAGAGAGAGAGACGAGCGCTGGCCATTTATTTAGGACATTATTTATTCGCGATGCGAGTTATCCATGCATCGCGTGTTTACGCACGTCATGCCCGATACGATCCGTACGTGCTCTCTCGAATTTCCGCTTTTGGGAAATGCCGTTGACATTTAACCGACGCCGACAGTGTTCAGTGACATCAATAGGTACGCTGTTTCACTTTGATGCGTATATCCTTCGATCGTCGAACACAGAATACACGATCTTTGGGCTCATTACGGGTTTCCTTGCCTCGCGACAATGTCACTGCCACTGCACGAGAACGTATTAATCGCTAAACATTCGCGCATGGTGGCGAAGGTCCGAATTAGACGGTTCATAACTCGTGTTAGAATTCAGGCTAGAATTCTATAATCTTTCGCATCGCGAAACTCTCTTACATGCTGTAAATTTTATAATTTTATACTTTCTATGAAGAGCATTTGAAAAATTCGAAATAATAATGAACTCGTTGACAGAAATAATATTGAAAGAAAACCGACTCTGAAATTGATTTCCTTTCGTTATTTCAAAAAATGCTACACGCGGAAAGAACAATTTTGCCGGAAGGTAAAAAAATTGAAAATAATTTTGTTGCAAACTCAAAAATGATAAGCATTGCTATAAAACGTTTTGATATTATAGCAATCAGTTTGAGTTTCCAACAAAATTATTTTGATGGTCCAACAAGAATTACTTTCAGATCTGCAGTATCAAAATTTTCAAACCTTCCAACAAATCGTTCTTTCAATACAAAATATATGTTAAAAAATACACGCTTGTACTAAAATTCGCAGCATGCAAAACAATATGTATAAAGTATATTCTATCCTGAAATAAGCTACTGAATGATGCATTATTTAAAGAGAGCTTTAACGATATATTTCGCATTTATGTAAAATTGATAACAGATATCCGCGGATCGCAGGATGCGGGCTGTAAAACGGGAAAAATTATGCGAAGCAACGCGAATTAGAAATGTGTATCGTAAACATTTCTAGTTCAAAAGGGGGTTTTTTAATAATACGACTGATCGTCGTGTACAACGTGTGGGCACGGGTCAGTTAAATTAAAGATCCCTCGTAATTAAAGTGACCTTTAAATATCACGGACATCATGGGAGGTAAATCGCGGATCAAGACGCTAATAGCGGACGCGGCGAGCCCGAAAAAAATTGTTATTTTCGTGACGCACGAGATGCGATTCTTTGAAGCTATTTCAATTAGGAGTCTAAGTATATAAGTTATTCGTTTACGCAGGCGTACTTTCTTTTTGCACACTTTTTTTCATTTTTTTTTCTTATTACTTAAAAATACTTAAATCCCCGCTGGTTTGCAATCCACGAGAAATCGCGCGCCTTAAATCTGTAAACGCGTTTAAGGCGGCGACACGTCTTCGTTCCGCTTTTATGTTAATTAGGGGACGTTGCACCGATAACGGCTGCGCGCGGCGGATCGATAATCCGGCGGCGGATATCTCCGCTCTTGGCTATCGCCTAATACACGCAGCGCGCGCTTTTCCTCCACAAGCCCGCAACCCGCCGCCGTAACTCACGTTACGCATTACACTTATTACAGCGACCTAATTTCCCTATACGTCATCCCTCCGTATACAGGCGATGTGAAAGTTATATATATATATATACACGTACATCGCCGGGCGCGCGCATGAGCGCGCGACGGGATGAGTGCCGAATGAAAGTCCGCGCCGTCCTGATGGTGATGAATGGGCACGAAAAGTTTATAAACGAAATAAATTTCAGCGGGCGCGTGGAGCGTATTATACCGGGGGAAAATATATACGGTGCGATGAACCGCGCGCGCGGCGATAGCGATCCCCGCGTTCACAAAGGAAGCGGCGCGATATCCGGCGTCAAGGTAGCGGCTCGAAATGAGATATATCTCGTCCTTTTCAACGCCCGTTTTTACAGCTCTTAAAACCCGGTGTATTAACATTACAGCTTTCGAACCTTTCATCATACTTATATTCGTGGAAGAGAAGAAGAAGAGCGGAAAAAGATAAACGAAGATCGCGAAAATAAAGTCTTTCTTACGACCAGCCGTCTCTCGTGTGGACGGAATAACGTCTGTTTTACGGAATCTCGGATTTTCTCTCCGGACTTTTATCAACTTTTCGATATATGTTTGTAATATTACTCGAATGTGTCGAACGCACGACGACCTTACCCGACGCTTTATTTTTGTCTCTTGTAAGTTAAAGGGACAGCCTGTAACTTCTCGTTGCGGATAAAATCAGATATATTCCTTCGTTCTTCTTAATTCGCCTTCCTGGAATTTATGGTTGAAAGGACAGTGGATTTCGCGACGTCGGTCTCTACGTATATATCCGGCACATACTTTGCCGGGAAACGGAAAGTAGACCGGAGAGTACTCAGCACGCGGACACGCACGCCGATCCACAGACCGAGCGAGTTGATACCGTCATATCGCGGTATTTCGACCGTCGTTTTCCGCACGTTTGCGGATCAACGAGACACCCGGAAAGAAAGAAAATTGCCGGGACTCCCACGGCCATTTATCTCCATCAACCTGGGCATCGACTTTCGCCCGCCGCCGAGTAGGTACGCGCGCGCCCCCGTTCATTCTTTCGCACTTTTACGTGAGCCGCCGTGGAATTGGGTCACGAAAACATTTCGCATGCGGATGAGTGAATCCCCGAGATAGAGACGTCCCCGGGGATAGAGACATCCCCGGGAGAGATAGGGCGGTGTTCGCCGTCGCGTATTTAGCGTTAAACGCGACGGCCGTCTAATTTCCATCTCACGTTTACCCCTCACCCCCCCGCGCACACGCGCTTCTCTCGCATTAGGCAAATGAGACATATGAGGGAAACACGTAAAACAGTGGCGGCGAATTTGCGGCATGTGTGCGGCATGGAATCGAGGCGACACGATTTTCCAACGTAAAAATTACTCGTTTTTACATTTTATAAGAGCAATACACATAAAATTTAAACATTTCTTAAAACGACAGCGTGAAAGCTATACAAATATATTTATATTATATTTACGCATTTTGTAATACTTATATTTAAAGAAAAACTTACAAATAAGAAAATTAATTGCAAAGAGAGTGTGTGTGTGTGTGTGTGTGTCTGTTATTAATAAACTCCCTTTAAACTCTCACATTACTTCCACAACTTCGCTCCATAAGTTCAAGCAAGACGTGCGCTTCGCTCATACAGAGCCAACGGTGGCCGCGTTTGGTGTTTAAACGCGCATTGAAAGTTCCGCGCGCCCCGTACCGGAATACATCTTTCAAAAGCTTGACCAAAGTTTCACGCGATCGAGAATCTTTCAAGACGTTAACGCGCGCGGGAGGGTATCGAGGATGATCACGTAGCGATGGCGGCGGCAGCTGAAAGAGCTCAGCGATGCGAAGCGCGCGATTTCGTTGCGCCTTCGTTCAAAAGATTTTCGTCAGCGCGGGCGCGCTTGGTAATAGGCGTAGCGGCGAGCTGCGGGGAGTTTAATTAATTAATCCGGAACTGTGCGACGCGCGCGCAAAGCAGCCACCCTTTGCTCACCCTGCGGTACAAGGTGGCGGAGTTTACTCGCCCTCCCCCTCTCCCCCTCACTCTTGTTACGAGCGAAACTTTCGAGAGCGGGCGGCGCACCGCCGCGGAGAACTGCCGCGGCGAACATAATACGGTCGCTTATCCCTCGCGCAGCTTCGCGGCGCGTTCGTAAAGAGAAAAATAAAATTGTTCTCTGTTGAACGGAGTTGTCGAGTTTTCGCCTGCGAATACTCGCGGCAAAGGTTTCGACTGTTTCCCCTTTGTGGAAAATTCAAACTCGGAAAGTGGTAGCCCGGTTCTACAGAGATCTTATCGAGTAACATCGGGCGCGAATGAAGTTTATTTAACTCGAGCAGTTTCGGTGCGCTTTTATCCTCGATTGCGGATTAAACGTCGCTCGCTTCGGAGTCTTCGCTTCGATAATTTTGAGCGACGTACGGACGATATGAACGGTTAAAAATTGTATGTAGCGGCGCGCGCGCCTTTTTCGACACATCGCGTGACGATATTTGTCAGTGTCAAGTGTCAAGTGTCGACTTTTTGAAAACTTTTCCGTTAGAGGCCAAAAAAAAACCGACTTTTCATGCGCGACAGCCCACTTGCATTAGACGCTCGTTACGTCTGCGGAAGAAACAAGAGCGGATTTACGCGGAGAGAGAAAGAGAGAGAGAGAGAGAGAGAGACAGAGAAGGCGGAGAGAGCACCGCAAGCGTTTTTTCAGCAAAAATTGAGGTCGGGTAAGAATGTTTTGAGCGACGGTTTTTCGGAAATAAAAGGCGAGCAATATACAAAATAGACTTTTTATGTTACACAGCCCTCGAGTCGACTAGTGTACGCAATATTTTTTTTCAGGCGCGAGCATGTATCCTACAATCGGTCGCACGATCCGAAAGACAGGAAGAGACAGAAATAAAGAAACTCTTCGAGGGATTCATTAAACTTCAACGCTATTTTTTATTATAATATTAAAATTAGAATTGTGTTTGTACTTCGAAAGATGGAAGAATTAATATCGATTGATCAAATTAACAAAAAGTTAATTCCAAATCTTTGCGACGAAAACTTTAGCGGTAGTTAATCAAATAATAAAAAAAAAACTTATCAAAGCTTTTGTTCAATCGTACTCCTAAATCTTCATCGTAAAGGGTGGAAATATTTTTCGAAGTCAATTCTCTCGCGCGTTGAAAAACTCGGAATAAAACTTGGTCATTAATTATTTTCAATAAAAAAACGTTCGGAAAACAGCTAAGTTTCGTTTGCAGTTTCGCAGGAGCGGTAACGAGCTCCGAAATAACCACTGCCGGCGTCGAATCTGCGGCTCGTCTTCTCGTCTGGGACACGTCACTCGGGGATACGATACGAAGGTATCCGCTTCAAAGGCGCCTTCAACGACTATTATGCTCGAAACTCCAGTCTAGCGTTCCATAACGGTTAATTCGTTAATGCGCCGTAGCAGCGACGAGCCATATCTTGATGGAATCCCCCATTCTTGGTTCTCGGTTCGAAGTTCTCCGGATGGCATCCGCGCCCCCGAAGAACTTACCTTGCCGAGGGCGCGTAAACTTCCGCGCGAGTCTAGCTATTTTAACGATGGTAACGAGGAAAGTTTCAGGCATTCGGGGCGTTTCGGTTGTGCGCCAAGCTGCTGGCAAGACGCGACGCGACGCGTTCGCAGTCGTATTCGAACCTGTTTCCGCGCAACTCCCGGGGACGAGGGAGTGAATTGAAAAGGAGTTTTAAGCGTATTTCCGACGACGCGACACCAATTTCGTGGATGTTAGCGCAGCCTTCGCACGAACGATCTCTGAATCACTTGCGAAACACGCCTAAAAGGCAGACGCAAAGAGAAAACGAGACGAATTACAGGGGAAGAAACGCGAGAGCTTTCTTTCGAGTGTCGATACTTCACCGAGTGCTTATCGCAGCTTTCCCCGCCGGTCGTTAAAGTTTCGCCAAATAAAACGAGAGAACGTCGTTTGTAATCAGCCGATTCAAGATAACCGGGAAGTTTTATAAATCCGATTTTTTTTTGTTATCAGCTGTTAGTCGTAAAATCGAAGTTGTAAAGTCTGAGAGAGAAAATTCGGCCGAGGTACCACTTTAAAAAGTAGTCTTTTAAAACTTTCTCGAGGAGAATTTCGAAAGTTGTTGCCCGGATCGTACTGGCGGCGTTTCGAGAGGAGGATGACCCCCATCGATTTGCCCTATCTGTCCACGGCGCTGTTAAAGAAATATGATAGCTGTTTGTATGCACTTGATGCGCGCGGAGCGCGGAGAGATGGGAGAGGGACGACAGAGGGGCCTCGACTCACCTTTCTCCAGAGGAGCTCTCTTGTACTTCTCCAGCCTCTTGACTGCGATGGCTTCAAGGCGCACCCTGGCAGCCGGATACTCCTTGAGCACGTCCCACATGTCCTTCTTGCTGAGGACGAAGAGGTCCGAGTAGCCGACCGAGCGCACGCTGGCTGTTCGCCGGTTACCTGCGTCGATGTAGCCATTTATTGGTTATCGGGATGCATCAAGCTTTCTTATGTAACCGCACCCGTGTGTGATCGATCTGTCGATCGTTCTACCCACGGCGGACCCGTTCGCAATCCGGATGCACGTGGTTCCGATTGCACACGCTCGATATACGTCCGCGTGTATCGCGCGCGCGAGCTATCTCTTCAAGATCCTTTTACGCCCCTTTTTTATATATTCGTACAAAAAGCGCAGTAATTTTGATTAATCGAGTCCGTTACGGTTCAGCGTTCTATGTTAATTGATTGCTCGCGGCTCGACTTTTTCCCCTGACTTTTTTTTTCCCAGAGAGGCGTTTAATCGTCCGGCATTTGTTGGCTGATAAATTGATGGATAATAGTGGGTACGAATTAATTGCGTTCCACCGCTCGCGCGTATATTTAAACCGCTTCCGAGCGTATTTTTTTTTTCACGCAGCCATTCGCGGAATGCGATGTATGTTAGTTAAGCTACCGGGGGAGAGAAAGAAAACTCGCCGCAGACTAGGCTAATAAAGTAGTTTGCCCAGAATGTGATGATGACGGCGGCCCGAGCCATTGTTTACAACTTTAATTGGTGTCAACGATATTTTATATGCCGGCGTAAAAGGGCGCGCAATTAACAAGGTAACGAAGAGCGTAATTGCTTCAGACTACAGACGTGCGCGCACGTCTAAAACGTAGCAATAACAGAAGCTGCCGTGCAAACTTTATAAATTTCCGGGGAACGGGAGGGGAGGGGGGGGAAAGATTTAACCGTTTAGATAAACATTACGTTCGAAAGTTCCGCTTCATTAGTATGCTACGAAATGCACCTGGAGCTGTAATACAAATTGTAATAATTAAGCTTAAGATACGGGAGATTCTTCCGACGCTCAATTGAAAATTATGCGACCGCTTTAGCTTTCAGCCGCGATAATCGTGGCACGCGGCATGCGTCTCTCTATCACGGTGAGAATTGTAAATAGCTCGCGCGCGCGCGTAACTCGCGTCATGTATTATTCGAAGAATTTTCACGTTTTGAGCGCAACTCGAAGCCGCTCCTCCGCCTCCGCGCCGCCACTCATTCGCTTTCGATCGAACGCCGCAACGCACACACACATACACGCACACACACACGCGCGCGCGCAAACACACACACATACACACGCGGAGTAATCGTTAACCGTAGCATCGAAGAAATTTAGCGAATGGAAATTTTGCCTCCTCATATTCCCCGAGAGTATCTGAATTACTTATTTCAGACGGCTTTTTCCCCGAATAGATTCCGACATGTTATGAAAGATACCAGTCGCCTAAGAACATTCTATCTTCCCAGAATTCGCGAGATGTTTCGGGAAGATAAAATTTCGTCGCGCTCCAACGTCGCGTGTTTGTTGTATTACAACTTTACGTAGCGAGTATTTTAACGAGACGGCGACACTAACTACTTCTTTGCGATTGTTATTCAAACGCGGCACGATTAAGTGATAATTTTATTTCGGTGACGATCTTGCGATTAATTGATAATATTTCGGCGAAAGATTCTGTGAATAATTGATAATATTTCGGCGGAGAATTCTGCGACTAATTGATAATATTTTCACGATAATGCGCTTCGGCGGAGGATTCTGCGATTCACCGATAATGTTTTCACGATAACGCATATAGGCAGATGACGTGCGTGTTTTATCTCATTTTCTGTGTGCATCCTAATTTTAATAAATGTATACCAAAGATGTATATTCGCTGCAGTCTCTTTGCAACGCTTTTCTCTCATCGCTGTTTTGTGTCAAGATTTTACTTGTCACAGATAACGTTTTAATATATATTTGCAATGGACCATATATCAATACTTGATAGTGGATGTATACTTTTGAAGAAAGGTAGTCTATTTTGCTTTTTCCTCTTAATAATTAATTTTTTTTGCATATAATACGAATAGCGAAAACGAGATAACAAAATCGACTATCTTCCTTCATAAATAATCAAGGTAATCAAAGTTATACTTGATGTTTGAAAAAAGTTAGCTAAGATAAAGGACACTAGAAACTACTATAATTAATTTGTACGTGTGTGTGTGTGTGTGTGTGTGTAATATATATAATTATTGATAATAATTGGTAATAATAATTTGGCGGATCCGAATGCAGGTCAATACAACCGTAATGAAATCAGCACGCATTACAGCAGTAAAAATTACAGTAATCAATAAGAGGCCTACATTAGGGAGTGATGGCGACAAATTGTGAGAAAGATAGGTGAATGGTGCAATGAATAGTAATATCGCGTGAGAATGGAGATGCTCGTAGGAAGCATTTGTAAATGACGCAATGATCGCGCGCAATGATCATTCTCGCGAGACAATTGAATCATCTGAAAGCGTTAAAAATGATTTATACAAACGGATAAAGTCGGTCCTTTACAAATGCCATCCCCCGAATTGTAATAGAGAACAATTAATAAGTATGCAATATGGTATAAGAAAAAGAAATGTAACAGTCCCAGCGTGACGTTGCTGCAGCGCCGATTGTGAGAGTCAAAGATATATGATGCTGAAAGAGGCGCGACTAAGAGAACGGATCCGAAAGATCACGATCCAGTTCTAAGCCATCGCTTCTAATAGAGCTACGGAAGCGAGATAGAAATGGCGGAGCACGACTGGCTAAAAATATGATTCGTCAAAACCTTATCGACCGGTACGCCTTGCGAGGGGCTGAGTTGCCGTCTGCTATTTCGTATCTGCGATTGATAACACTTACGCGTGTCTTCGAATTAAAAAGAAAAAGAAATAAATAATTTTGATATAACGTTATCGAATGATTCGATCTATATCTCTTATCTCTTTAGCCTTGGTATTCTTCACTCGGAAACGCGGATTATTTTGGGATTTCGCCCAAAAATTCGCGGTGATCCGCACAGCGACGCGAGGCATCGTAAAAAAAAAAGAAGAAAAACGAAGCTCTCGAATCTGACGTTTTACGACGTGCGTTATAATTCGGTCGGTCGTTCCGGTCGATCGTAAATTAAAAAAAAAAATAAAAATAAAACGGAGTACAGTAGCCGTGAGAAGAGACTGAAAAGAGAAGGGTGGAGACTAAAGGGCAATACGTGTCACGGGCCTTACTCGAGATGCGTCGACGGTCTCGCAACGACGGGCTCCGCCGGCACTGCTCCGTGCTTGCGGAATTCAATTAACCATTTACTGTTTACCAGATAAGCAGAGTATTATAAAATTTCTGACCAAATGCAAACACGATACGAAATTCAAATGCGATTGATACGTTCGCACGAACTGCGAAAATGCCCGCGGAATCCCACCGGCACCGATACCGGGGCATCCCGTGTTATCTACGAGTAACAGCGGTACGGAAAGCTTTTTACACTCTCTCACGAGACAATATTGCCCGGTTTTTCTGTAGCTACAATACGTAGCGGAGTTATAGAGCTTGTGTTTGCTAAAAAGATAATCCGGCGTGGCCGCCGGCATAAATAAGAGGAAAATTCTTTACCAACTATTTCATTAAAAAAAAAAATACATACAATACATACATAGTATCCTAGGAGATTAAATTCTTTTAACAGCGCGCGTGGATTGAGAGACTATGAAAATACGAGGGGAAAATTCAATTTGAAGCGGATTAAGATCATTCAGATGATCAGCCAAAAACGCGGGCTCTTATTAGCAATCCTGAAGTTTCTTCGCGACAAATGCGAGTGCAATGTTCGTTCCGGGGGAAAAAAAAGACTTCGCCGAAAGAAGTTCGATGGGAGAATAAAGTTCGTGCCGTCTCCGAGGAGACTTTTTATACGCGCTGACGGCCGTTGGGCGATTATTTTTTCGTCTCGGGCGAGAGTGATTCACAGCGAGAGAGAGGGGGGGGGGAGCCGGTCCACGCGAAAACAAGAATGAGAGCCGCCATCGATCCCGCGTGAACGGCCTCTATCCTGACAGGATTGTCGATGCGGAGAAATTGGAGCGATACTTTTGCATTGCCGATTTTTTGCTCTTTTTTTTTCGTCCTCGAGCGGAGAGGGCGAAATCCCGGAAGACGCGTACGACTCACGAGTGATTTCGCGGCGCTTTGGCAGCCCGTTTTCGTATCACGTATCCATCAAATTGTGCAAAAAAAAAAATGAAAAGAGAAAAATATATCCCCCCCCCCGCTAATTCTTTTGCCAACGCGCGCGCGAGACGAATGCGGAATGACTACTCGGCCGTAGTTGAATGCTGTTCGGTCATTTGACATGATTTAGTACCACGCGTATCACGAAATTAATCTACCGAGACTCGTTTGTCTCGATTATTTATCGAATACTCGTTTATATATTATATATTATATATTCTTTTAAAAAAGATGTATTTTTTCCATTTTCTCTATTCTCTTAAGTTTTTTAATTTGTGATTTCATTTCCATTTAACGTAATACAAAATGAAAAGTTATAAAATATGAAAACGATGCGTTTCACATCGAATAGCACATGAAATTTCGAACTCAAATAGTCAAATCTCGCAGTAAATTTGCGATGATTACACGTGCCATAAATTCTGCGATAAATCTAACGATAATAGGAAAATATCCTATACAGCCGGCGAAATTGTCCACGGTAGGGTAGATAATGCAACGTCAATCACAGTTAAATTAGATAAAGCTCGTCTTTCGGTGTGTTTGGGAGAATATAATATCATCACGGCCGTGATATACCGGAGAGGGTGAAACTAGTTTAATTCCCAGCTCATTTATTTAATATTTGCGTAAATCTAAATTTGCGTTTAATTTTGTTTAAAACGTAATTTGAAAATTATGCTTAATTTTGAAAACATCCCGGAAATAAGCTTTTAATAATGTAATATTTATCCGCATTATATATTTTCTCTTGCACATGCCGACTGGAATAGTTGTGAGAAATTTGAGACAATCATATTGTCGAGATTTCTGTTTGTAACAAGAAATGTATCACTCTTTTAATTAAATAAATAATAATGAGGCGCACGCAAATGTCGTTATATAATTTAGTGAGGAAATAATAACGAGGCATCGTGTGCATCGATGTATAATTTAATTTGAAAATACGTATTTCCTCTATTATAAAAAAAACTTCTACTCTAATTGTAATCAGAAAAGTATGTAATTCTTTATTAAATACAAATTTCAATATTTTTCAAATTTACCCAGGCTTTTTCTTAGATACGGTCTGTCAGAGCTTTTTCTCCTCGGTGCAAAGACCAAAGGATTAATATTCATCGAAGAGCTAGGTGATTAATTAATATTTCTATTCCTCGAAATTGGTTTCTCTTTCATGGATTAGTATATATACATTTATATATATATTTAAATTCTGTTCACACCGCGCGGACGTCGTTGCGATGAACGTCGATCGCGATTAAAAAAGGTGAAGATCGACAAATGGGACAAGTCTGCGAGAAAAAGAGAGATAGTGAAAAATTGCTAGAGAGATCGTTTCTTTAGATCGGCTCATACCGGCTCGACGGCTTGCCCTCTCACAGAGTGGTAAGAACGTGAAACGTGAAAACGTGATCGTGAAAAACGAAGGGGGACAGCTCACGGGCCCCTGGTCCGTTTGGAATATTTACCGCACTCTTTACCTGCGGTCCCCATATTGAGAATGCTGATCTCCCCGAAGTAGGAACCCGCTTTAAGGGTGGCGAGCACCGTCTTCCCGTTGTCGGCCACCACCTGCAGTCGGCCCCTATTCACTATGTACATCTCCTTTCCCACCTCACCTGCAATCGCAATCACACAAGGAAAAATGAACACTCAAGCTAATTGTTCGGTTAGCCGCTACCGCTGCTCTTTTTTGACTCTTAACTTAATCAAGGCGGTGTCTCGCGCGGCGGCTCTTCGCAATCCCCGATAATAAAGCCGCGCGGGTATAAAGGAACCAGTGGTACAAGCCATATTTCCGTAACTCCGAGGAATAAAAAGTTTTGTGAATGTACTTAACATAAATTTCAGCTCTTTTTACGTAGTATCTTTTTATGAGTCTATCAAAATAATAAGCCGTCGGCGCCATTGGTCGAAGTACAGCGGTTGGTATATCTCTCAGGGTATACGACAAAAGAGCAGGTACCTTAACTCTTACTACGTAATAACGTACTCGTTCCGCCAATCCGATTTTCGTCATCATTAACCACGACGTATTTCCTCTAGGATATAGGAATAAGGAAAGATATAGGATATAGGAATAATAACGGAGAGAAGAGAATCATATCAAGTGTAGGAACGAAAGCTGGCAAATTTTGTAACAAACGCGCGCAGTACGACTTGAGTTGTCCTCTTATCTCTTTCTAAAAGGTGACACGCGGGAAAAAAAAGACATTACAATTAATTGTCGTTGGAAGGAATTATCGGCCTTAATAAAAGATAGTATACATAGGAGCGCAACAGGATATGCCGAGGAACGGCCGTCATTTGTCTGGCAAGTAGTAACGCTCAGCCATAATTCCGACCGTAATCGCGCGACGCGATGCAGCGACGGAAATGCGCGTGGAGAGCGGCCGCCCATCAAGGAGGGGAAGGTATCGCTCCCCCCCCCCGCATTCCTACGCTCACATGGCGGTCATTCCGCCGGTAGTGAAAAGAAACCCCGTCGAGAGGATAAAGTGGATGGAAGGCAAACGATCCGCGCGCGGGGGAGAACGATCGCGCCTCTCCGTTCGCTCCTTCGTACGGCTTTGGCGAGCGCCTGAAATTACTCCCCCGACCGCTCGACGGATCGAGAACAAATACTAAACATCGCCGATAAAAATGGCCGGGCAGCAGCGTGAATTTTTATTTGTGCATGCGCGATCTACGTTGCGGGAAGCTTCTCTGTAATGCGCCGTAAATATTCCAAGATAGATAGCGAAGTCATATTTTTCAGCGAATTCCGTTCCAACCGAGGGAGGTTTTTCGATATCGAAAGAATGCTTCTCGAATATAATTGTCTTTTAAACACGGACGGAGACTTCCTTATGAAGGATATGGAGATTTCTACATCCAGAACTCCCGTGGATATGAAATTCACACTCAGAATTCGGGGTATTAAAAAAATATTTGTAAAGAGAAAATATATGAAAAGAAATTAAATATAGAAGAATATATGTAGAAAACATATTTCACACATACAACAAAAGAGATAAAATATTAGGTTATTAAAATCGCCGTTCCCCCTTAAAAAAGTTAAAAGTCTCCGTTCCTACTTTTAAACAATCGTAAATTTCGAACATTTCGCAGGACAAAATATGTAAATCAAAAGAAGAGATTACGTTCCATAACATTTGGATACTAAAATCAAATAAGAAATCATTTTGTGACATAAAAAGGAAAATAAATGACCTTTTTTTATTGAATTCTGCTGCGTCCATAAAAGAAATAGATTTTCGGAGACTGTGCGTTGTGAATGGCGCTGTCAGTCGTTAGAATTTACGAGCCGTTTCTCTATGCAACTGGACTACCAAAGTAGTTACGCAGAGAAGGGAAAGGGGGAGACAGAGAGAGTGGCTCATGCTTCCTTCCATCGCGTTGATAACGAGCGCGGCAGTCACTTTTTCGGTCGTAAAATAAAAATATTCGCCTACCAGCGACGGTCTCCGGGAGCGGTACGGAAAGGGAGAGATAGAGAGAGGGAGAGAGAGAGCGCAAGCAATCATTTTTCACACCCACGGTAACATCGTTTGGCGTGCTTCCATAAGCAGGACACGCCGAAATCCAGGGAGAAATCGCGGGAGAATGCCACAGTGTGTCTAGGGTTCGTGTCTCCTCCCCGAGGGATCGTAAATGACGATGGAAATGAGCAAAGTCGACTAGCAACCACGGGACAGTTGGTCACATTTTTTTAATCTAAATTCTAATTTATGACGTTTATTTTTCCTCGCCGAAGCGGCACATGCGGAGTGTGCATAAAACATACGCGCGCACTCGGCCTAATATTTTCGCGCCGAAAGTAGCCGCGCCGGGAGGAAAGCAGACGGATTTACCTTTGCGGCAGATGTAGTCGCCAGGTGAGAAAAGAACGGGCCGTAGTCGCAGCACCAGCTCGCACAGGAAGCCAGCCTCCGTGTTCTGGAAGATCTCGACCCTCCTCAGCGTGTCCAGGTGCACGTTTATCGCGATCTCTGCCTTCAGCTTATCTGCGAGAAAGGGGGAGAAACAGGAGGAAACGATTAGCGCGGAATGTAATAAAAAGCGGGCGAGAGCGCGGGGAAGAATCAGAATCTCCGAATTAATTCCTGGAGGGAGCAGTCCTGTGCTTGCGTCGCGCGGAACGCGCTGAAAATGCGTTTACGTTAGCACGAGGTCGAGGCGGGTCGTCGCCTAATGCGTAAAGAAAGTGCGCATCCATTTTTAATTAACTCGGAATTTCGTTTGGAATTTCAAAAATGTACACGATGCACCTTTTTCTCACTCTCGTTTTTCCCTCCGTTATTTTCGTATATACCCCGCTTGATATTTAAAATTTCTTTCGCGACGCGGCAGCGAAATTTTTGTGCGCACAACAATTTATGTACATCGCTGCAACGGCAACGGCGGAAGTCATCGCGCGCCGGTGGACTATTTCTATTGCGTCGCATTGCACACGGCAACATCATCCGAAACTTCAAAGTGTATAAAACCATTCCGAGAAGAAAAGGCAGTTTTATCAAAAGCGACGTCCCATTAGCCTGAAGACACTTTGTCATCCTTATCTGCAAAGAAGGTGAAAAATCCCTGTCGCAATTAGGTGGTGAACTAAAAATAGGCCAACTCTAAGGGGAGCTTTTATAAACAATCGATATACCGTGCACCACTCTCGACCATGATGTATATTTTTTATAATATCATCTCAAATGTAAAATTATTAATATTTCCGCAACAAATTCTCAATAATTGATTTAGAGCAGTTTTCATTCTACAAAGCGTCTGATTTCAATGCCCGTTGCGTTCTTTTCGGAATATGCACAAAGAGATATTTATTACCGCAAATTATAATTATTAATTATTTGCTGTTTATAAATCTAATTATTTTTTTTCTATTTTAAACGATAATAAATACGACTTCGTGACGGTCCTGTATTTCTGTGCAAACACATTCTTGGCGGATATATTAATATTATATGTGCAATAATTAATATTAATACTAATATTAATAAGCAAATATATTTCATTAAAGGCCTATTGTAAATATGGATTACTGATTAATAATTGTATCCGCGCAGACTAATAAAATAGGCTTCGTAAAATAAGATTTATTGACTAGGGTACTATTTCCCGCATGAATCCTTGATTAGCAGGTTAAAGCTTAATATATTGTTACTATTGTTGCTGAGATAATTATAGCCGAGCATGCACCAGAAATTAGTAGTTAACCCAGAAGCATGTCGACCGTATAAGTACGCAATACGCTACGACGTTACTATTGTTATTGCGGCAATGCAGCTGCGTAATTAGCACTAAGTTCCGCAAATTAACGCTAATTGTGATTATGCAAGCTGTTGCAAGTATCGGAAGATTGTGCGGTTTTTTTTGGCATTTTCGCTTTTCATGTAATTTCATCGCCGATCGATATGTCTCTTCTCGATTAACGCGTATTAATGCAGCCTAATTGCTTGTCTCTGTGTCGATATAATCCGACTATTATCCCTGCGCAAAAAATACCACTACCAATTGTTTTATTACGCGTGTGTACAGTACTGCAGATTATTTCATTATTCATTAAAAGAAGAAGAATCTTTTTAAGTATTCCGATAATTGAACGAAATAAATTTCGAAAATAGGATTAGAGTTATAGGATAAAATTTTATATTTGGCCCATTTTATGTCGAAAAGACTTCTTAAAAATGATAGTGATAGTGATATGTGTATGTAATTCAAAATTTAAAAAAATTTATTAAAAATATTAAACGTTTCAGTCTCTCGACGAAGTACATTTTAAAAATAAAATGATAAGATTTGACATTGTTTATCTATATATATTTAATGCCGGAAAGACCTCTTAAGAATTTAATTTAAAATTAAAAAGTATTAAATCGTAAAACGTGTTTTTTTTTATAAGAATTCAAATTCGCTAGGAAATATCAGTATAACGCGGAAACGTTCCAGTTGGTCTCGGATATTATTTCCGGGGCCTTTATCGCACGCGTTATAGCCGATTAAACGACGTATACGTATACGAAAACCTACGCGTCGTCGAAATGGCCTACAATTTTTCATTTCGCACTAATATTCAATTTCCAACTCCTTGTTACGTCGTGCATTACACTTGGAGACTTTACAACTCGCGCCTTATAGCGGGTTTATTGCATGAGAAATGCGCGCCATTCGAAGGAAAACGATTTTCAGGATGTTGTCCGGACGTTTCCCTCTTGCTCTCTTACTACTCTAGAGGAGATGCTCTCATTTGAAAAGCGCATTCCGCTTTTGCGGTGAAATAATAACGCTGCGCTTCTCCGGCCATTTATTCCCTCTTTAACATTCTGCGTTCGTAAACTACGTTACCCGTTAACTATGTCTTAATTCCGATTCTTCCCCCCATTAAATGAGGGGACGAGTGCGAGTTGAAAAACGGGTTATTACAATGGAGTATATAGGGTGGTGAGGAAGGAAGAAAGGAGTATAAAATAAATTTTTCTCAGTTTGAGAAACAAAGGAGCTCGCGGAAGAGTGGTTAATGTAAAAGCCAGCTGCTTTATTATGGAGATCCTTTCCTGCGGTTGTAAGCAGAACGATTATAAAGAAGTCCCTTAAGAAGAGCGCAAGGAGAAAACGATTGAAAATTTTACGTCACGACACGCGGAAAAAAAAGAAATTGATCGATACTTTCTCGAAGGCGAGATAAAACATTTTTCGAGAATATGCGAAAGCTTGCGAGAAGAAAAAAAAAGAAACTGACAATTTTCTTCTTAGTGGGAGCTTGACTTCGCGTTAAGCACTCTTGTATATCTCGTGCAATAAATTTCAGCGTAAGTCCTCCTATGTTACCCGGCGTAGCCCGTGGGTTGCCCCCCCCCTTCCCCGTTTCTTCCAGTTTATTTGCTTCTATATAAACACTACGTTTTACGTTGGATATAGTCTCTTTTATAGTGCGTCGCGAGCGATAGAATCATTATTACTCTGCTTTACTAGCAGTTTAGCGGCGGGGAATTCCCAGCAGAAATATCGTTTCATTCCAATAATCGGCTCGGCGTCGTCTTTAACGCAATTGATTCAGAACTACATTTTCTACATTTACGCAATTTTTTTGTAATCTTTACTCAAGCGATAAAAAAAGTTATCGGATTATTGAAGGAAAAATACTCGTGCGTATTAGTTAATATAATCATGGACGATTCCGTCGTAGAAAAAAAAACGATAACGTACAATGTGAGAAAAAAATATTAAATAAAAAAATATTTCTTGATTACAACTATACACGGCGGTTACGGGCTGTCAAACAAGTATTTATTAATTTAACAAAATATTTTTTAATTCACAAAAATATCATGTTGTTGATGTATGTTTAACTTAAAAACATATACAATATATATAATTATATAAAAAACATATATAATATATATAATTGAACTAAAGAAAAACTGTCAATAAAACGTATTTAGTTATATTAACTTTTCTTTTTTCAGTGCAATCAACACATTTGTCTGTCAAAAATAAGCATTTATTTTCGTGCCATCGTAAAAGTAATATACTCGATCACTGATACGCTATACAAGTCAATTTGTTTTCCTATTTATTATGCAAATCCCACTTACGCAAATTGTTTACTACATCACAAAGGGAGGGATTTAACGCGAGCACGGGGCGGAATAAATTATAATTTTTCAGATAAGTCGGGAACTTTCAGCGCCCACTTTTATCACGTCTCTTTACGAGAGACAACCCCCGGTGAAAATTCGCCCACGACCGTTTGCCCTCGTGCGGTATGCATTAAAAGGCGACGATGTCGGCAGCCGTACACGGACCCTGCTTACGCGTCGCTTTGCTCGCATTTTAGTTCTGCGTATCCTGCCAGGCGTGGTTATGAGATCAAATGTTTCCCCGTGAAATTATATACGCTAACACCGGGGCGAAAGAGGCGGCGATATCGTTTCATTTGCCCGTAAACACTCGCCCACGCAATAACTTGCGCATTCGTCCGTTATTTGACTAATAAATTGCAGTTAAAAATGGAAAGCTTTATTCAGAACTCGCGAATGGACGGAGTTACATTAATTACACGTGCGTTAAATTACGCGCTCGCGAAATAGCTCCGCCTAGCCGCTTACGTAGATTCAACGCGGACTTATATAAATATCATAAAGTTACGACCACGGCCGGAGTAGCGCCGGATTTTCATATAACTCGCGTTTATGAAAGTAAATTTGCGCCCGCATCTCTTCTATATTGCGCATTAATAACGATAACTATACGGGGGTGAAGAGAGAAGATAAATGATTCATATAAAAATAATTAATTACGTCTGCGTTAATTGCATTATTCAGCTTTCATAAATCACTTATGCTAAAAATAACGGTATAACGCAAGCGTGTTTTTTTTCTGTAACAAAAAGAAGCTTCAAGTTCGCGTGGATAATACTCGTCGTAGATATACCTTCTTGATTTTTAATCCGTGTTGTTTTTTTTCAACAACAAATTAAATGCCGTTCATTCGAGTTAATTTGACATTCATAAGTTTGGCGAGAAACTCACCTGGAAGACAACTCACTGCTTTCTCTTCGTCGGAGCACTTCTGCGTCAGCCACAAGTAGTCGAACCACTTGATAACTTTAACCTGCAAATGATTCGGCACTCTCCTCATCCGCATGTAAGTCTTGACGCCGTCCAGCTTCGCTGCAATCATCAATCTTCCGTTAATAAAAATGTACATTCTCAGACGAGAATGAAAATAATTTAAAAAATCTAGAAATGCCTCTGACGATTCTAATTGCTCTAACTGCCACTTCTTAATTTTGCTACGTCAACGCGCAACATATGTCACGCGATCGCTCACGCCAACGCGGCAAACGACATATTAATTCACCCAGCTAATTATGTATATATGATATCGTTTCCGGTAATGCATAACGTTTCCGAGTTCGACTAATTATCATTTAAGCATTGAAAATCTCGCGTGAAACCGTCCCACATTTGCTAATTCGAGAACGTGATAATACGTTATTATACAAATGAAATGTTCGATGATTATTAATCGTCGCGGTCAATATTGGCGATTAAAGTTGATAAAATTATATATCGCCCTCGGCCCTTCCCGCGCGAGTTCGCAGGCTGAATGATTTAACGAACAAACGCGTTATAAATGTAGGATTTGACAAAGCCAAAGAATTAAATTTTTTACGATTGGATTACGATTCCATGAGCGGTGTTTCATTATCAATTATTATCGAGATACACCTTTTTCCCAGGACCTTCGTCCCGTCTAAAAAAAAAACTCTTCGTTATTTTCACTTTATTCAATCAATTATGCTGATTGTTATTATAAATTAACGATATATATCGGATGTAGTTTAATGGTAAATTTTCTCCGATGCACTTATATTTCTCGCAAGCAACTTTTGATCGAAGGCAAAGACCGTATTGCCGCAGTTATCAGTTAATTGAAACGAATAAAGACAAAAGGAATTCTCTCTCTCTCTCTCTCTCTCGCTCCATTCTTTTCCATCTCTTTTATGAGGACAGCATCGATGGGATCTGTTAATATTGCGATATTGTGGCATATCCGTCGTGCAATCGCTGCACGGGTCGCAGATCAATAGTAATGCAGCGAAACGGAAAACTAAGATACGGCTACAATTTTACGGGGACCTATCTCGGTGCTACAATATATATTCATACGAGCGCGACATTCAATTGCTAAGGCAGAATTGAATAAAAATATCTGCTCGTCGAAGCTGAATGTATATTTTAATGTAATGGTGAAAGATATAATGTGTCCGAGGTATTAGAAGGGAATGTAGATTTCTCAGATTCCTCAGATTTCCCTTTAAAGAGATTTAAATCCTTAATTATCAAAAACGATATGCCAATTCGACGTATATACGGATGTCTCAAAAATTTATACACGGAAAAGAAAGATGTTTTGTCACAGCATTAGTTTAATTAAAAAATGATCTTGTTAATTTAATAATATTATTAATGAAACGGCCTGTTCTTTGAATAAAATGTTATTGGTTTCGTTAAAACTGAATTAGTATTTCAATTAGACTAATGCTGTTAACGCAACCTCATTTTTTCCGTGTACATTTATTTTACTTTAAAATTAATAGGGATATGATTCTTAGACAGTTTAACTGCTGTCTCTCGTGCATATTACACACATTCGTACACGGGCGACGAATGTACGTAAAATAAGAAATTTGCAAAATTGCGTAAGAAACGGCTGATACGTGCCCGCGGTGCCAAACTGTTTCGGTGACAGAATGTAATTTTGCGAATGTACTTTTACGACGTTCTTCCACTTGAGGAAACGCAGGAGCGCGCACGTAGCACGGTTTCAGCTAAACTTCTTGATGGCAAGCAGCGTTCGGTAAATGTTTCGACGACCCCTCTTTGCTATACGCAAAGCAAAATGTACTTCGCGTACTCGGATCATCTGAAGACTCGTAACGCCGCATGATGTGCGGACGTTCGAAGGTATGTAAAACGAAAAAAAGAAAAAACGAAAGTGGAAGAACACGCTGCACGTTCGGATTTCAAAGCGGGGGATTCGTCTCGCGTCGCGGACAGGAGATATTATTACTGGATTCACGTCGCTCGCGGTCCGTTACGTTCTGAGAATCTATAAATATGGATTATGAGGAATGAGGAATGCGTATCAAGAAATGAAACGTCAAACTGTCTCCGAATGTCAATTGCTATCCACGTTAGATATTCGATTGATACTCAATCGAGTAAGCAACCGACCGACAGACCGACCGATCGACCGATCGACCGAAGGGGATAACATGCTTCCTTGTTAGATTACATCGAGCCATTTGCGTTCGTGAATATAAAACGCGTGTCTCCTTGCGTCAGTCGTATTTTACGGAGCGTTTCCTATTTGGAAAGAGCTAATCTCTTATGCAGTTTGCCGACCGGATCATCGGCTAATGTCATTTTAAAAAAGCCGTGCAACCTTTCCGCACGTTTATATTTTAAACATCGGAAATAAATTCCACTACTTAATTCCATTAGAGAGAGAGAAAGAAAGAGAGAGAGAGAGAGAGAGAGAGAGAGAGAAAGAGAAAGACGCCACTTCTCCGCGCAAAAAAATTAAATAATTTCTACCGCGTTAAAAATCTCGCGAAGGATTCATAAAATATGCAATTTTTTTTGGCTTCTCTCGAGAATCTTACGTTTTCAAATTTTTAGCCGGTTCTATTTTTTTTTCCTCCCAATTTCAGACGCTTAAATGTTAATGCATGACGCGGCTCTCAAGAGTCCGCAGTGCGGAGTTCACTGCAGCGATCTAATTTTGTCGTATAGATATCGGGCAACCGGGCAGAGGTAGTCCTCGCGTTTCGAGGGGTTTCCGTCGTCGATCTATCCCCGATATATATCCGCGAATAATCAATCCCAGATACTTCTCGGGGCCGGACTCGATCCAGGCAGGGATTCCCCGCGTGCGGATCGACGAGCGCAATCCGGAATTGGCCGAAAATGGGTATAACGGGGACGCCGACGCCGCAGCCGCCGCCGCCGCCGGCCTGGCTTCGCCTCGCCTGACTGACAAGGAAGAGGGGTGGTTTCTATCGGAAATGGGCTTCCGACCGACCGACAACCGTGCCCATTTCGACGGCGCAATTTAACTTACTCCCCCGCTTTTCGCGCTTCTCCCGCGTCTCGCCACCGGGATTCGCCCCCGTCTGGTCGGCGGGTTTTGGAGGATGGGCACGGACCCGATATTGATAATATACAGCAGCGGCACGATTCGACGCGGCGCGGCGCGGCAGCGCGATCAAAGGAGCGAGAAGATCCTTGGCCGCGATCCAGCCGGCACCGTTCACCCGCCGCATCTCTGATCATTTTTCCAGCGGGTTCATCGAACCGCGTTTGAATACGGAACGTCGAGTTCGCGAGGAGCGAAGCTATAACGCTCGGAAGGACGATGTCCTTCTTGGAGCACTTTTGCGCATGCAGCAACGCGCGCGCGAAGTGGTCGCGTCGAAAGATATATATATATATATATATATACATATGAATCTTCGATAACGGGGTTTCAAACTCGTGCAATATCGACGAGTTTACTTTTCGATGTGTTACAAGTGCAGAGAAATATAACTCGATACCATTGTCCTCTTTTCAGACTGTGAAAAAAAATTGTAAAAAGCATTTGTAATTAAAATTGGATAAATTTTATCATGGTCTCTTCCGTGATTATTTTTATATTTATTTACGTATCGTTCCGTAAAATAAATCTGCGCGAATCTTTTACCGCTTTTACAATTATTATATAACATAACAAGTAATACCATACTAACACTGTAACATAATAATTAAAATACTTTTCAATTTCATGGTATTCCATGGTATTTTTAGCTACGGACGAGTATTAAAGTAAAATACCCGACGCTTACAAACTGGAATGTTCTCCCTTAGTGAGGTCTCGAAGAAATAAAGGGACGTTAAGTACGAAAGCACGACGCACGTGCGTCAATGCGGAAACGTACGTTAAAGACCCTACTACCGTGGCTTAACGACGGAAACTTTCGGATGTTTTAAGGGTTAATGGAGGGCATTTTCGCGACCTCGTCGTGCCAGTGCCGAGATCAAAGCGATCATTTCTGGCTCGTTTCCAGCTCCAACTCGATAGAAGTTAAGACACGTTTATTTCGCGCCAAAGAGACTCGGTTTCTGTCACGACGACAAATACATGGGATGTACTCCCCCCGGAGAATGATTGTACCGTTCACGGAAAGAACAATTTCACTGAATCCAGATCTGAAAATAATTTTCGTTCAATAATTAAAATAATTTTGTGCGAAAGTCAAAATGATTGCTAGAATATATCAAAACGTTTTATAGCAATGCTTATCAGTATTAACATTTTAACAAATTATTTTCAGATCTGTTTTTAGCAAAATTTTTAGACTTTTCAACAAAATCGTTCTTTCGATATTGAAAAAAATCGAAGTGGATTCTATTATCTCTTCATACGAACGCCGTGAAAGTTTCGCGGCGCTTTTTTCATGCCGCGAGCGAGGGATCGAACTTTGAAAGCTTCAATTCATACTTTCGAAAAATTCGCCGAGAAATCGGCATGCTGAATTAAGCAGCAAAACCCCGTCAATTGACGAGGGTTTCGTTAGCCTCGTGACAACGCGCGACACGGATGTCATACACGCGACACGCGCGAGTAATTCTTCTTCTTCCCCTCGAAAAATTTGCGAGGGCTTACGCTTTGAAAAATCACTGTTTTGTCTTTCCTCATCGTCGATTCTGGCCGTCAGCAACGATCCCTAAAACGACACGCCGACGTTGTCTGTCCGAGCGCGCAACCTGAAACTGACAGTCGCAGACGAGAGCCGCAACCCCGAAGATCGATGGATCTTCCTCGAGACGCGGTCTTAACGACCTTGTTCCATGTTACCGATAGCTTCTACCGGAACGTCATTACTTTCCTTTCAGTCCACTCGATCAAGGCACTCCCTCTAATGAACGGCGTCTGTAAATAGTTTGCACGTAATAAAAGTAAAGACACCGCCAGACTGTCCCCGCGCCTGTCCCTATAAATCATCGCCGCGGCGACGGAAAAATACGGCCCCGTTATTTCCTACGGTTGCCACTCCACAGAGAGCGAAAATTCCATTCGGCCCGCGTATTTTGTCACAATACTATATTTCTGAGTCCCTCTT